ATTGAATAAGTATGGTGAAAGAATACAACCCTGACACACACCTTTCCTGACTTTAAGCCACTCCGAAGTATCCCCTTGTTCTGTTCAAATGACTGCCTCTTGGTCTAAGTACAGGTTCTGTATGAGCACAATTAAGTATTCTGGAATTCCTATTCTTCACAATGTTATCCATAATTTGTTATGCTCTACACAGTCGAATGCCTTTGCATAGTTAATAAAACACATGTAAACATCTTTCTGGCATTCTCTGCTTTCAGCCATGATCCATCTGATAGCAGCAGTGATATCTCTCATTCCACGTCCTCTTCTGAATCTGGCTTGAATTTCTGGCAGTTCCTTGCTGTAGCCGCTTTTGAATGATCTTCAGCAAAATTTTTACTTGTGTGTGATATTAATGATATTTACAATAATTTCCACATTCGGTTGGATCACCTTTCTTTGGAATGGGTACAAATATGCATCCCTTCCAGTCGGTTGGCCAGGTAGCTGTCTTCCACATTTCTTGGCATAGACGAGGGAGCCCTTCCAGCACTGCACCAATTTGTTCAAACATCTCAGTTGGTATTCCATCCATTCTGAAGTCTTGTTTTTTGTCAATGCCTTCACTGCAGCTTGGACTTCTTTCTTCAGTACCATCAGTTCCTGATCATATGCTGCCTCTTGAAATGGTTGATCATCGACTAATTCTTTTTGGTACAGTGACTCTGTGTATTCCTTTCATCTTCTTTTGATGCTTCTTGCATCGTTTAGTATTTTCCCCGTAGAATCCTTCAATATTGCAACTCGAGGCTTCAATTTTTTCTTCAGTTCTTTCAGCTTGAGAAATGCCGAGCATGTTTTTGGTTTTCTATCTCCAGGTCTTTGCACATTTCATTGTAATACTTTATGGGTATAGATATTAAATAAACTATTCTAAGACTGGCGAAGAATATCCCATTTCAAGACTTGCTAGACAACACTGCATTCCCTGAATCTTCAAAGACTAAAGATGTCAAAATTCCCTCTCCAGGGAGTTTTCTCTCTGAAGCAACTGCCCATGGAAAGCAGCCCTCAGTTAGCCTGTGTCCATGAGCCACCCACCAGGAGTCAACAAACCAAAGCCATTCAGCCTGGCCCTTCACCCCACACCTCACTCCCCAAAGGGACCTCCCCACAGGGCAGCCTCCCACCCCCACTCAGTACCCTTTACCTCCTCCCTGTGACAGGGAATGGGGATGGCAGAGATCCTGGAGGGTAAGGGGTGGGGAGTGGGACTGAGTATCCCACAGGGCCCTCCCCATTGGCCCAGGACTGCCACTGTCACCAGGCCACCCTCCACCAAGCTGCCATCACACTCCTGCCTGGTGGTGTAGGGGGAGCACTCCATGTGCTTCTTCTAGGCTACCATACTCACCACCTCCCCGCAAATCTCTTAAGAACTCTTTAAGATGGCCATGAGGCAGTTTTCCTGGTTTTACGGATGGGGAAACAGACCTAGAGAGATTAAATGAACGCAGGTCAGTCAGTGGTGAAGCTGGCACCTGAATCCAGGAGGGCTGTCCAGTGGAGTGTTTATAGGCTGTCGTGCACAGCTTCACAGGCTGCAGACTGCACAACTGCAGAAGCACAATTCATTGGAGGCTGAGGTTTGAGTAGAGTTTCTTGAGGCTATGAAATGGGAGGCCTTGGAAGCTCAGGTTAAAGAAGAGTTAAATCCCTATGGAGCTCTGGTAGTGCAGTAGTTAAGTGCTCAGGCTGCTAACCAAAAGGTGTCCCATAGGGCCATTATGAGTTGGAACTGACTTGATGACAACAGGTGTTTTGGTTTTAAGTCCCTGTAATCATTGGGACAGGTTCTTCTTCCTGCTCCTCTCTTGCCATCTGTGCTTTGTCTTCTGCGTGCATCAGGAAACGCCTGCTGGCGTTTCAGGGCGGAAGGAGGGACTTCAGCTGTCCTGGGATAAAGCTGCTATTCAATGTTTGTGCACGTTTCTTAATTTCTAACACAAAAGGCTATTTTCCCTTAGGTGGACAGCAATTTAACGGCGTGTTCCAAGTTAAGAGCCTGAGGGAAGCCTCTTTCTTTGAACAGAGACCCTCAGCCTAAAGAAGACAAAAGGGGGGCCGACCCTCTACTCCGGCTGGTCACCTTGGTGGCAACCAAAAGCTGGATTACACTCTGGGCTGCCCTGACCGCGACACCCTCAACAAGTTAGGAAAAAGCAAAAGAAAAACAGATCGGCTTTCTGGGGCGGGGACTTACAGAAGGAAGAAAACTCAGTTACAGCCAAACACGCCTCGATGGCACCAAAGGGGATTTGAGAACTCAATTCAGAGGCCCTGTCTCCCACCCTTCAGGTGCCCTGGGGCACTTTCAAAAGTGTGTGGAACACCCTTTTAGCTCAGTGGTGAAGTTACCTCCGAGGTTCACTGTTCAGCCTGGGAGTGGACAGCCCCGTAAAACCAAATGAGACTAACGAGGTACAGGAGTCCAGTGACAAGGGCCAGAAGGCAGAAGGGGACAAGGAAGCTGGTGATAGGGAACCCAAGGTTGAGTAAGGATATTGTTGATGTGTTGCGAGATTGTTAACCATTGTCATAGGGCAACATTTGTAGTAACTGTTAAATGAGAAACTCTTTTGTTCTGTAAGCCTTCATCTTAAGTGAGAATAACAGCACAATTGGAAGAGCGTAGTCAATGTCACTGAACTGTGTATGTAGAAATTTTTGAAATGGTGTATCTTTGGCTATGTGTATTTTCACCAAAAAAAAAAAAAGCGTTGAGAAGTTAGAGGGTTAATATGTTGTGGGGTTGTTAACCAATGTCATAAAACAACATGTGTACTACTGTTTCATGAGAAACTATTTGTTCTGTAAGCCTTCACCTGAAGTACAATAAAAAATAAAAAAAATAAAAAAAAAGTGTGTGGAAAACAGGCCAAGTAGTCCCGGCATTCCAAGAGTCAAATTCATCCGCGCCCCACAGGAGGCTGACTCTGGCAGGCGGGAACCAGTGTCCTGAGGGGCATGGAAATGGGCTGAGGACTGGCTGGGACCCACGCCACTAGCCAAGCCATGCCCCGTCCCACCGCCAGGGGCTGTGGGCTCTTACTCCTGGGCGGGGACAGGTTTCTGGGGGCTGGTAGGTGGACGCTGGCCTTGGGGCAGCACATTTTCGTGGAAAAAGCGAGTGTGTGGAGGCAGATAGATCTCGGTTCGAATCCAGCTAAGTTTCTTGCTGTTGCTAGGTGCGGTGGAGTCGATTCCAACTTACAGTGACCCCATGTGACAGAGTAGAACTGCCTTATAGGGTTTTCTAGGCTGTAATCTTTACAGGAGCAGGTCTGGTGAGTTTGAACCGCCAAACTTTGAGTTAGCATCCGAGCACTTAACCACTGCACCACCAGGGCTCCTTGCTAAGCTTCTTACTTGTAACTTACTCCTTTAGAAAATTACTATAGCTCTCCGAGCCTGTTTTCTTTACTGGAAAATGGGGATAAAGATACATTATCCTATCGGCTTATTTTTAGGATTCAATCAGTGAATGTATATGTCTAGCCCTTGGCAAGAAACAGCCGTTTAATGAATGCATTTTGCTGCACGGGCACCGTGGTTTTTTCTGAACACCATTAGGAAATGGTCACTTTAATAATCATAGTTCAGGAAAACTCATCCTTTGAAAGGAAGACCTAGAAAAGTAGTAGCAAAACATCCCGACTATTCTCTCAGCTTTAAAAACCCTCAGCTTGTGACAACAGCTGCTGTTGAAACGTAGAGTGGTCCACGCTGAGCTCAAGCGGAGCCACTCATGGCTGAATCTGGGTAATTTACAGCCATTTCCATTTCCACCAAACGGGACCAAGAACAAGGAATGTCCCCTACGCCCTGGTCTTGGCCACATAAATCACTGACGCTCTCCACAGCCAGCGATCACTGATGACATGGGGGATGGGGAGAAGGCAGAATAAATCAGGTGGGTCCCTCGTGTCCTGGCCTGAGGGAGGAAGAAGGAAGGGTGGCTGCAGAATCAGAAGGGCACTCAGGGTGCCCGTGAGGTCCAGGAGAGCCAGAAGCACCAGCCCTCCAACACAGTCAGCGACCAGGTCAACCCTCAGCTCTCACAATGAGCAGGTATGCCCACTTCTTCTTCAGATTACCTTCTCTCCCTTCCAAGTCACACTCAATTTCCCATTCTTTGAATGCAATTTCCATTCTTTCCCTCATGCCCAGAGTCTGTGCTTCACTCAGATCCGCTGGGTGGGCTCTGCTCTCCTTGCAAACAACTGCCGGTCCCACCTGCTCTTCCCTCAAGATGCACCCAGAAGGGTCAGTGCTTAGCAGGCACCGAGCTCCTGTTAAGGGTGGTGGAATGATGTGGTAACGGACAGTGGTGATGGCTGCACAGCATGATGAGTGTAATCAATGTCACCGACGTGTGCATGTAAAAAATGGTGACTTGGCAAATGTTTTGTTATATATATATATATAAAACCACGATTTTAAAAAAAGCAAGTAGAAAAATGAGAAAATGAGGTGAAACAAGCAATAAAAGTGAGATTGTGGGTAACAAAAATAAAATCATGCAAGCAAAGCAACGAAGAAAACCAAGATGCACCCAGGCAGTCCAGAGCTCCCGAGCCTCGGCCATACATTCTAGTCCTCGTCATCCTTCCCTACGTTGGCACACCTTCTCGAGCACAGGTCTCTTGTACACTACAAACCACCCCCAGGGCGACCCCCAGACCGGACGTGGGAAGAACTTCAGCCCTGGTGGGCAGACACGAGGGGAGCTCCCACCTCCACCTGCACGGACAGGTGAGTCAGGCTGAGCTGACTCCCCGGCACTGATACGCAGGCGCAGCGATATAAAGAAATGCTTGAAAAGATGATAAAGCTTAAAATAAAATGCCTGAACCCGGCCATCTTGCAAACTAACATGAGAGGCTGCTGCCCACCCGTTTACAAGTCTGGCAGTCCGGGTGCGGACGACCGACCTTTCCATGGGAAGGGGACTTACTTACCGGACTTCAGCCTGAGCTGGCCCAAGCATCCGTAGGCGTCTGTGAGTTTCCCATACTGCGCTCTAATCACCTCCTTTTCTTCCGGGGCTGGAAAAGAAGCACATCACGAAGCCCGTCAGAGTGCGGCCCCAGTTCGAGGTTCGTTTACACAGCAGCTCTCCAATCTGGTTCCCACCCACTCAGGAAAGAAAAGCAGAAGACAATAGCTCGGCCCACAGCTAAAATGAGTGGAGGCTTTGTGATCAGCAAATCACAGGGCGGCAATGATGTAGAAAAGTTTGCTCTCTCTCTGGGGGCACCGACAGCTTCCTGGGGCTCGAGAGGGCTAAGCCCCAGGGTGGCGGGAGGCGCTGGGGTTCTGGCTGCAAGCTGGGAGCTGACTCCCTGGGCCTGGCTTTCTGCGAAGCAGTGTTGCTCCATATGTTCACAGACAGCAGTGAGTCATCGTTAACTGTTTGGAGGGCATCGTTTTATAAACATTATCCACAGGAGACTACACCTTCTGGTGCCACCGCCCCCACGGGACCTGCTAACCCATGGGAAACCAGGCTCTGAACGGAGGCTGTACTTGCCACCGGCTGACCAGGGTTGAGGCCAGGTGCGGACCCCCGCCCTCCACCACCCGCGTCCAAGACCAGTCCAATTAATCCCAAAGCAGGCTGCATCAGCAGAGCCAGTCCATGCCCAAGCAAAGACACAGTCTAGTTCAAGCACGAAGAAGAAGGCAAAAGTGACAGAGGGAAGAACCACTGGAAGGAGGGAGGTCCTTAACCTTTATAACGATGTGTTTGGCTGCTGACCAAAAGGTTGGAGGTTCAAGTCCACCCAGAGGCACCTCCAAGAAAACCAGCCACTGAAAACTCTACGGAGCACAGTTCTATTCTGACCCACATGGGGTCACCAGGGGTAAGGGTGGATTCAACAGCAGCTTTTTAAAAATGTTTTTAAATGCATAGAAGAAAACATTGGATGAACCTTGACAACATTACGATAAGTGAAAGAAGCCAGTCACAGAAGACCACCTGCTGTATGGTTCCATTTACATAAACGCCCACAGTAGGTAAATGTATAGAGACAGAAAGGTTAGTGATTGATTTGGTTAATGGTGGGGGCGGGCGGAGAAGGGGATGAAGAGCAACTTCTAATGGGTATGAGGTTTATTTTAGGCAGGACAAAAATCTTCTAAAATTAGATTGTGGTGATGGTAGCATAACCTATGAATATACTAAAAAACATTGAATTGTACATTTTAAATTGGTAAATTGTATGGTATGTGAATCATATCTCAGTAAAGCTGTTATACCCCGAAAGTATGGCCTCCAGACACCCTTTTAACTCAGTACTGAAGCCACTCCTGAGGTTCACACTTCATTCAAAGATTAGACAGACCCATTAAACAAAATGAGACTAAATGGGTACACCAGCTCTGGGGCACGGACATGAAGGCAGGAGGGGACAGGAAAACTGGTACTAGGGAATCCAAGGTTAAGAAGGGGAGAGTGTTGACATGTCATGGGGTTGGCAACCAATGTCACAAAACAATATGTGTATTAATTGTTTAATGAGAAACTAATTTGCTCTGTAAACTTTCATCTAAAGTACAGTAAAAAATAAATAAAGCTGTTATAAAAAACAATGAAAACAAAATAAGTAAGATTCAACTTTACTGAAATCTAGTTATCAAAATAGGCACGTAACAACAACAACAAACTTATCAAAATACTAAAAACATTTTGTATAGCAATATATGTGCTTTATTATTAACACCTTAAAAATAATATAATCTGTTAGTTTTTGTTAGGGGCTGTAGAGTCGGTTCCGACTCGTAACGACCCTGTGTACAACAGAACCAAACACGGCCCAGTCCTGCGCCATCCTCACAGTCATTGTTATGCTCGAGTCATTGCTGCAGCCACTGTGTCAATCCATCTCCTTGAGGGTCTTCTTTCTTTTTCGATGAGCCTCCACTTTACCAAGCATGATGTCCTTCCCCAGGGACTGGGCCCTCCTGATAACTGTCCAAAGTACATGAGACGAAGTCTCCCCATTCTTGCTTCTAAGGAGCATTCTGGCCGTACTTCCAAGACGTATTTGTTGGTTCTTCTGACAGTCCATGGTATATTCAATATTCTTTGCCAACACCATAATTTAAAGGTATCGATTTTTCTTTGGTCTTCCTTATTCATTATCCAGCTTTTGCATGCATGTGAGGCAATTAAAAATATCATGGCTTGGGTCAGGCACACCTCAGTCCTCAAGGTGACATCTTTGCTTTTTAGCACTTTAAAGAGGCCTTTTACAGCAGATTTGCCCAATGCAACACAACATAATCTAATGAGGTCTAATAAAACCAAAAAAAAACAAAAAACAAAAAAAAACCCAAACCCATTAATGTCGAGTCAATTTCAGCCCACAGGAACCTTAAACCCATTGCCATTGAGTCAATTCTGACTCATATAGACCCTATGGGACAGAGTAGAACTGCCCCATAAGGTTTCGAAGGAGCAGCTGGTGGATTCGAACTGTCGACCTTTTGGTTAGCAGCCGAGCTCTTAACCACTGTGCCACCAGGGCCCCCAGAGCGACCCTAGCCCTACTGAAAAAAAAAAAAGTCGAGTTGTTTTTGGCTCATGGCAACCCCATGTGTTGCAGAGTAGAACTGCTTCATGGCTGTGGCCTTTCTTCTGAGGCGCCCAGGGTAGGTTCGAACCTCCAACCTTTCTGTTAGTAGTCCAATGCTTAACCATTCATGCCACCACTATAACTAGCTTAAATTTATTGTGCTATAGGAATGAATATTTGTTCTCTGGAAGTAACTATCCATTTTAGATGCTATGTGATATTCACATTGAATAGCCGATCAGAAAACGTGCCTAAAAAACTTGTAATATCAAAACATATATGTGTCATAAATGACTTTCAAAAAAGAGAAAGAAATGACAAAAAACAGACTTGGGAGTCAGGGAAAGGGGAATCTGGAAGGGAGCCTCCCACACCAAGCCCCAAGAGCAGGGGTGGATTATCCAGTAAGCGCGGTATGTACCTGCCTACACTGAGCAAGGAATGCACGGGCTTAATTGTGTTTGCTTGCTAATCTGTGGTGAGCAATTTCACATGGGTTTCACCACATTGCTGACGTGTGGGGACCGGTGAAATTGTGCACTGCAGATTGGTGGAAGGCACAACTGGGCCCGTGCGTACCTTGCTTATAGGGTGATCGCGCCCTGCCTAAGACCACATGGAACCTTATGGCTTCATCACTTTTTGCTGTCTCCATGGATGTGTGCCTTAAAGGGCAGTGTGGGCCAGCTAAGAGCGTAAGAAGACAAGTGTAGAAAGCATGGACAGACATTTTTCAGGACATGAACCTAGTTTTAGCTGACACCCTTCCTGGCACACCCTAGCTCAGAAGTGCCCACCCTCCCACATTCTCCACAACGACGTGACTTCCAGGTTTCTGTCAGTTACCCCCTAAAGCGCACTTGTACTCATCCACACAGGTCTGTCCCAACTTGCTTTGCAGAATAGGGTCAGTCTAGAGTGTCATCCTCCCTCTGCAGCCCTTCCCAGCCCTTGGCCACCAGGGGTAGGCACTGGCATGCCAGAGCCGTCCTCGCTGGGGGGCTGCATGGTCCTGCGTTCCAGCCCCGTTCTGCTCTGGCTGACCCAGGAGGGCTGTCACCCCAGGCCAGCTGGGGAAACCTGCCATCCCTCACCAGACGGACAGGTCTGGCCAGGCTGTGGCTCAGACACACAGCTAGCAGGACACAGACTGGAAGGCCAGAGTTCCCCCTTTCTCATTTCTCTAGGGCAGTGGCAGTTCAGTGGCAGCATTCTCACCTTCGATGCAGGAGACCCAGTTTCAATTTCAGGCCAATGCATCTCATGCTTAGCCACCACCTGTCTGTCAGTGGAGGCTTGCAGGCTGCCATGATGAGAAACAGGTTTTAATGGGGCTTTCAGACTAAGGCAGACTAGGAAGAAAGGCCTGGTGATCTACTTGTGACGATCAGCCAATGAAAACTCAACGGATCACAACAGTCTGACCCATAACCGATCAGGGGGTTGGCACAGGACCGGGAGCCGTTTTGTTCTGATGTGCATGGGGTTGCATGAGTCGACAGCCAACTCAATGGCAGCTAACAACAGTGACAGGCAGGACTGGTGGTGAGATGTGATTTAAAGAGAAAGGCCCATTGCTAGCACAGCTGGAGAACCCAACAATTCAAAAAGACATAGTTTTGAGACCTGGCAAATACTGTTAGGGAGATTCACTAGGAAGCAGTGACTCAGCCTCAGCGTGAGTCAGTCTAATCCAAGGGCTCTTCATCTGGGGGGACAGGGGAGAGACCAGGAAGCCACCAGAGCTTCAGTGGTGTCTACGAAACTCATACCCACCCCACCGACCTGCCTCAGAGAACTTAGGGCGGCTGGGAAAAGTGATGGATGGCGAATGAGTTTCCTGGCTTAATTTGTTTAATTTCTAAACTTATATGCAAATTTTTTTGGATGTGTATTTTTATGAGGCTAGGATCCAGAGTCTGGATCAGAATCTCAAAGGGATTGTTGTTGCTGGTTGCCATCAAATCAATTCCAACTTATGCTGACCCCATGCATGCAGAGAACATCTGCTCCGTAGGGTTTTCAAGGCTGTGACCTTTCAAAAGAAGATTGCCAGGGGTGCTTCTGGGTGGGTTTGAACCACCAACCATTTGGTTACTGGTCGAGCACTTACCAGTTTGTGCCACCCAGGGACCTTCTCAAAAGGGTTAAACCAAAAGCCAAACCCATTGCTGTCAGGTCGGTTCCGACTCATAGCGACCCTGTAGGATGGGTAGAACTGCCCCATGGGGTTTCCAAGCTGTAAATCTTTATAGGAGCAGACTGCCACATCTTTCTCCCTTGAAGCGGCTAGTGGATTCAAACTGCTGATCTTTCATAAGCAGCTGAGCAGTTTAACCACTGTGCTGCAGGGCTCCAAGTCAAAGGGGTTAGTGGCCCCAAAAAGTTAAGAACTACCCTAATGAACTACTTTTTTTCCCAAGTGCCCACATGAACTTGTCTGATTTTTTTTTTGGGGGGGGGTA